ATATTCATCCAACCCTAATAGGTAACTCTTCTGATCTTGTTAGGCTAACTGTGGCAATCCAATAAAGCATGAGTTGCAAATTTCAAAACCAAGAGAAGCTCATTTATTAGATATAGATCCCTGAAAGCATGAATAGCCACACTTTGTTTAGGTGCAAAGGTCATTTAAAATAGGTTTTTTAAATTAGAAAAATCATATAAAAGGGGACTAGGAAAAGTCATTCAAATGGTTGGATTTCTAATAAGATAACCAATCTGTCTCATTTGCTTGGTCCTTTCTTTCTGAGATATATCAAAATGTTAATCCACTAGATAAAAAGTCCCTATTGTTGCTAAAAGCAATTCTAATCAAGGATATGACCTTCAGAAGCTGTTGAAAGTGCATTTATATTAACTTTGTTAAGGTAAATATGCCAAGGCTTGAATTATGGAGCATTTGACCAGATAAATTTCAATACAAATGCCACAGAAAAGCTTAAACTACTAGGAGAGGATCCAAGAAAACACCCAAAAAGAGAACAGAAGGTAGAAGAAGAATACTTCAAAACACAGAATATTATTTTGAGGAAAGAAGAAACATGAATAAGATACCTTAGATGAAATGTAAAAAGAAGTTAATCGAGGTGTATCACCCAAGGTCAGAGATATGTATGCAAACATCACAAGATAGCTTATCTGCAATAAAAATAGGAGGCAGGCAGAAGAAAGCAGTTTTAGAAATTACAATAAAAAATCACATTTACATGATTAATGATTTTTTTATGGCAGGCCTCTTAAAACTTCCATAAGTTACAAAGATTAGGCTTCCATAACTAGAACTCAAGTATCATGTTCTCAAGCCATAAAAAAGAAAAACAACTACCAATATGGTTATGACATCTGCAGTGCTTTCTCTTTTCAACTCTTCCTCGATGGAGCTTTCCGAAGAGAACGAAAATGTCAATTTCTTATATTGAATCATAGGCAACAACTCATCCTGTTTCATAACATGGCATCGCACGTGAAACTCACTTATCCGAGAAATGCCAAGACAAGGCAATTGGAAGACAATAAACAATCATTGATATGATGTAATTACAAGTTCCACACCTTTGCTAACCGAACAAAGGCCTTCTCCCAAGCCACTGCCTTTTGAGTTTCATTCCCTTCTTTGTCAACAGCATTGTTTACCGGATAAGTTACTACAAATGCGGAAGCCTGTATTATAAAGATCATTTTAGGTTACAGCATCCAATTAAATATGTTAAAGATCATACATTCAACGATCTGACTGCATTGGCAGCTAAGAAACGTAAAATTAATACCTCAGTATAGTTGCTCCCAGAGAAACCTCCTAATACAGTGCTAGGATCTACTGGTGCTTTAAAAGAACTCATACATGATTCTGCAGAGGTATAATGCTGAAAGAGTACATAATACGAAAACATTAAAGGCCAACTCAGGTTCCAAAAAGATAGTGAAAGAGAGAAGTGCGAGATAAAACAAGAAAATAATAGATAATTTAAATTTATTGTCATGATCTATAACTTAAACATGCCTTAGAATAGAGGCTGGTCAATTAGTAGAAATTTGAGGAAGGCAATTACCTTTAAACCAAATAAACATGGAGGTATTAGGATATACCTGAAAACAATAGTTCACGTGTTCCACTCGATCATCGGCGTCATAACTTGGATCCATTTTGAAATACTATCAAGAGAAACATAGTAAAATAAAAACAATTAAGGAAAAGGATTAGAAAGGAAAACTTTTAAGGTGCTCTAGAAATTCAATAATGAGTCACTGGTGAAATATAAAATACAGCAGAACTGACAGACAAATATTTATTTCAGAGATAAGTCAAAAAAGTGTAGCAAGAGTGTCACAACACATGCAGATGGAGGAAAAGCGGAAAACGAGGATAAGAAGAATGGATTATCATAACTAACAAAACTAATAAGATATTACATCAAAAAAATTCAATACTAAAATATGCTTATAGAAAAGCAACTAAATTGTCCATATGAAGAAATATAAAGAACGTTGCTTTTCAGCTGAGATTGAACAGTTTATGATGATAAACAATTCATCAGTTCCACTTCCACACATTTACATTTCAATTGACAATTTATTATTCTATACGCTTCACTCATATGCAGACACAAGACAAGCATTCTACCTGTATAACACTTTGTGTAGCACAATCCTGCCACGTCGGCTTCATGCAAATATCTGTCAAAGCTATCATTGAGCCAGAATAATTTCCCCGGATTCCATCAATCTGTTAAGTAACGTAAAGTATTTAAGTAAGGCCTTTCTAAGAGAATGTAAATGTACAAACGATTACAAATTCAATTACGCTGTATGTGATAATCCAACCTGATAAATTAAAGTAGAACATATACCTTCTTTTGTATTTCAAATAACAACTTAATGTTTTCCTCAGTCAAAATGCTGGGTGATTTACCATCCAAGGGGTCTGGAATTGTAGCTAATATTAGCTGAAAAGAATAGGTAACATTAGTTATTCCAAAGTAATATGGTAAGACACGTGAACTATAAAAACAGAAAACAATGCTCAATACATAAACAGATTTAAACTAATGGTTCTCATATAATAACTCATTAGAAAAAAAAACAAAGGAATGTGAGAAAATATTGCTACAATGAAGAGAATTATGTAATCAAGATTGATTTAAATAAATAGGAAAAGAAGAGAGGAAGAGATTATAAATATGAAATGAGGCCTATTAAATATGGAAACTATATTGCACATTGCTCAATCCAACAAAGATGAATTTAAACTGATGGTTCTTATACAATATTTCATTAGAGAACACAAGATAGTGAAAAAATGTAAGAGAATCGAATAAATAAATAGGAAAATGAGAGGAAAAGATTAGAAGGCGTTATATAAATAGGAAATAATGCTGCCGACAGATGGTAGAACCCTTACGGATATACACCCCGAAAAAGAAATAGTAGGAATATTTTACTCCAAAAAAAAGGATGAAGAAATACAATAATTTGAAATTTGCTGAGGTATGGCATATAACAAGAAAAATTTACTTAGCAGATATTGAACTCAGAATCATTCTATAATATTCACCCTCTTACCAGCAGTCAACAATAGGGGAAACAGAAGAAGTGGCAAATAAAGGGGGAAATAGAATAAAATAGGGCAAAACCTGCTCAATTCTGTAAAAAGGAGCTAGTTTTCTGTCAAAAAAACTCTTCTCTTCTGCAGCTTTACTTCCAGGTCCTACCCATAGCTGACATTGTATTGGCAACAGATATTCAGAAAATGTATTGAAAAAAGCATGTAACCAGTAGTATATCAAAGTCAATTTTCTGATCTCAAAATGCTTGACATGAACTGACTTTACACATCCATTCAAAACAACATAGAAGATGCTATAATTGACCATAGAACAGAACAGAAGGCAAATGCCTCATCAGGGAAATCAACATAGAGAATGGATTGCAAAAGCATGAAACAAGCAAGCACACTAGTATCTCTGGAGCCAAGTTCTATAGATTAGCTGGAGATTCGAAGAATGCATCTAAACATTATAAAGCAGATCATTTACTTATATCTCATGCACGTAAACAGAAGCCCAGGATGTTTGGATCACCATGAATTTCGGATGTTTATAATATTTGAAATTACTAATCATAGTAAACCCTGAGGATGCATTCTATTGCTAACCTCTTTGCATGGAAACAGAAATGATTTATCATAGGTAGTTCTTTATAGTCCATAATTATGAGCAATGAAATACCACTGTAGAAAGGTTCAGTTTATATAGAGATACATCCAGCTCTTCAGCAATCAAGTACTACCTTCTCTGGTCGTGTTTCCACCTTGAAACAGACGAGGCCCAAGCAAAGCAGAACAATCATTCCCACTGACACACTCAATACAAGGGTTGGATGTCTAGCAACCCATAGTCCATATTTCCTGAAGATACGTAAGTTAGAACAAAATCAGAGACTTGACCATTGCTGAAGTGATATAAAGCCTTATACATATAGAAATTTAACCTGTAAAAGTTTGACATGTATCCTTGCACAACAGAAAGTCGAACTGCAGTGATACTTTGATTAGCATCTTCTAGCCTCTGAAACCAAACATGAAGCACAAAGAAAAACACGTGACAAATCATTTAGTAGGAAAAGCAGAACCACACTTGTATGAAAAACGAGAAAGTACAAAACAGAAAGGTTTTCAAATAAGAATTACAAGTTAGTAAAGTTTTAAGCCACGCATAAATGCAATAAACTAAACCAAAATATCAAGTGTGAAATAGAATGAGATTGAAGAAAACCAGCACAAAGTAAGGGTGAAAAAAACAGCACCTGCATGGGGAGGTTCTCAGTTTTTTGCCTATTAATAGAACGAGATTCACCACCATCAGCTGCATCCAAAAATGGATTCATTCGAAAAGACCGTCTTCCTTTTCTTGTCCGATGAAACAAGCCCCACCCAAAAATCATAGAAACCAATACAACATATAGGATTGCTAAAGCTAAATCGACACATTTGGCCTGCATATTTTGAACATTTATGCAAAATTAGAAAAATCTGGATTGTAGCTCAAATTAGGATACCAAATGTACTTTCATATGAATTTGGGAATTCTCATTTGTTAAAATTAATTCAAATAAAAAAATAAAGAAAATAATCCCTCACCTTAAGAGATCCAATTTGAACTGAACATTTAGCCCCATTATTGGAAGTAGATATAGCTATATTAGAACAGACAGGAGAAGAAGGGCAATCACCACAAGAAAGCTCAGTGAAACATCTCTACATGAATAAGTGGATACATTCATAGGTTTCATCCCAGATGATTCAGGAACACAAAAATTAGCTGACCCTATTCCCATATGTAATGGGGTAAGGGGAGGTAGGATAGTAGGCCCCCCCAACACCAGGTTGAGAGCAGCTTCCGTGGGAGATCTCCGACAGTCAGAATTATGAATTGCCCACCGTGGGACTCGATCCCACGACTACAAGGTTAAGAGCCTTGCGCTCTTACCAACTGAGCTGGACGGGTAATTGAATGGTATATGGTGAACCAGGCATGTTATTCGGTTCTCGCCTACCAATGAAAGCAAACCACTCTGCCAGAACCAATCAGGCAGATAATGAGATTGAGACACAATGCACGAGACTTAAAATACAAACTTATAACTAGCAACTCACCCTTAAAATTTTTAGCACCGGCACCAATAAATTCCATTGCACGAGTATTCATGGTACCAAACTTGACATCCTTGCAAGATTCATACAATCCCTCACCAAAATCATCAGTTATGTAGAAGTCAATTCCATCCACAGTCGAGTTACTTTTGACCTGCAAAGAAAGATATAAATCAAGTAATCTATCATCTTCGATATAAAAATTTGTTTCCCCTAAAGAAGTGCACGACCATCTGTTTAAATAAGCATATGTAAGATGCATGTTAGTAGTAGTTCAGATTTTCACCCATAAAATAATGTTTATATTGATCACTAACATTGCTAAGGCTTTTAGAAGGCAGACACAACTCCACATTCAAATGACAAGATATTGAGTTGTATTAAAACATGATCATAGAGGGTTAGTCAGGATTCCAGACCTGGGATACAGAAGTCACATTGATGAACAAACTTTGATTTGGAGAGCATGAGAGCTCACAGAACAGATTCAAAAAGTTCCTCAAGCATGCCGGACAGCCTACTAGGAAGGAATTGCCTGCAATAATGTACAATGGAAATAAATCATGTTATAAAAAGATGAATTTTAGGAGCATGCAACCGGCTACCTCCAATTGAAGCAAGCTGATGTAAAAGCCATGATGTTTGAATAAAATTCATCTCTTAAAGTAGTTACAGAGCTTCCAGGTAAGAAACAAGCATTATACTTCCGATAAAACTGGAAAGGCTCGGGCCGGAATAAATGGAATAATAAGTAGAAAAGTTCCTCATGCCAAATAACATCTAATAACATCAAATGCCACATAAGCAAACCAGTAATCATTCACTCTCTCTAATAATGCAAGTCAGCATACGGCATACTAACAACATTAAAGTTGAATTGAACAATAACTCTTACTTGCTGGACTTGACTCCTTAGTGTATCAAATTGAGCTTCCGTACAACAAACATTCCCAGTGATTGTTGGGCACAAACTTTGAATCTTTGATGAAAGTAACTCATCGGGCTGAGAATCAAAAAAGGATATAAATGTCAAATAATTAGTTGTATTTTGTATCCAAGTTTTTCCAAAGATCTTTAGAATAAAACAAAAGAAATTTATGCAAATTGGCTTGTGGACTATAGTTCATATCAAACGAGACAGTGCGGATCTTATATAATCACTATTAACCATATTTAGTACAAAATTTATGCGAGACAGTTCTAAGTAACTTGCCTTTACTGCTGGAGAACCGGAAGCACAGTTCACTACTTTTCCATCACTTCGCATTCCACAAATGTCATACATTGCACAATATCCTTCAGCATGTCTCTTTCTAGACATAATAAACACAAAGAAGAGAGGTGAAAACAATTAATAACAAATTACCATTAAAATTTTCAATCAAGCTGAAGTAAATTAGCATATGTCATTATTAGTTATTATATAGATTTTCAGAAAGCACGAATTTAACCAGTAATTGTTGGTAGGGACAAACGCAAGATCTTATATTACGGGATGAACTTAGACTTATAAGAATCCAGGGGAGGCGAACTTTAACTTATAAATCTTAAGGGAAAAAATAGATTTTTAATAGAAAATACGTAGAAAAAATCTAAAATATATGATAATTTTAAATTTTTAGGGGACCACTCCACCCGCCCCTCCTAGGATCCTGGTTGTTGGGCTATTATTTACAGAAGAGGGGAGTAAGCACTGGAAGCGTGCATGCCCAATACGCGTCTAAATGACAACTCAGAACAATAAATTTAAGCTGTATTGGAATTTATTTTTTTTTTGTATTTTTAGCAAAGTTAGTTGATAGATAATAAACGCAAATAAGTCTCAAGTCTTACCTTAGTCCACCATTGGTCGTCTGTGCAACGGCCACTTGTATAATTAATATAACCTGCAAACCAAAACAAAGTGCTGATTCAGTTGAAATTAACTAGGACTCTTCAATTGTAATCTCCTTTTTCCTTTTTCAGCGAAAACTTCCACTAAAATGAAATGACAGAATAAAAAAAAAGGGATCTGCGCATGACTTCTTTGGCTATGAATTAAAAGCGGTTTTTTATTTTTCCCCCACTTTTTGAAAGATTAATAAAAAAAACAATTTTAAGATTCAGTTTCTGATAGAAACAGAGAAGACAAAATATAACTTGAATTCTACATTTCAAGCCTCGAATTCATGTTTTTTGAAAATGAAGAAAAACTAGAACTTGATCGAGTAAAGCATTTGACACGCTTTGACCAAAAATAAGAACATAAACAGAAATTGTAGATCTCTCAGAGTTCAAGCATTGAGTAAGGAATAAAACAACACATATTTGTCTTTCATAAAAAAAGATGAAAGAGTAAACGCCTAGGGAAGCCAGAATTAAACATAAATGTAAGCAAAAAAAGAGTAAAATTCGAACAGTGAAAACAGATGATGAAAGCCACTGAAACGCTTACCTGAAACAAAGAAACGAATAAAATAAATCCAAAAGGAAGCGCTGTTCTTCGGCGAGAGGAATTCATTTTATTTTACTGCGGAGAGCCTTTTGCTGAGCTTTGCTGGTTTAACAAAGAGAGAAATGTATAATGAAAGGAGAATGTACAAAGGAGAAACTGTATTTAGTTACTCTCGAGTCTCGAGCAGGTTTACGCTTTCCGAGAGGAATTTCATTTATGTAACGTTTGGTTCGCTGAAATATTTACGAGGGTGTTGAAATCTGTGAAGAAATTAGAATCTGTCAGTAATTAAAATTTAATTCCATATTTTGTTTGGTTGGCAGGAAATTGATATAGAATCTAATTTCATATTCTGTTTGGTTCGCAGACATGTCAGATGAATTTGATTTCAGTAATGAAAAATGACAATATTGTCCTTCTTATTTTTTTATTTAATTTTAGTTTGTTTTATAAATTACATGTAACAATATATTATAAAATTTTAAAAAATATATATTAAATTTTAATTTTATTGATTGATTATTTATTTCAATAAATTATAAAAATCATGCTAATAAACATCATAAGTTAAAATCATCTCAATTAGAGATGGCCATAGGTCGGGTTGGGTCGAGTTTTTGGTCCACCCGACCTGACCTGAGAACAAGAGAACCTCCATCCGAGATTTGACCCGACTAAAATAAAGTTTCACCCGACCCGACCCGAATATATGAATTAGAAATCCAACCCGAATATATGAATTAGAAACCCGACCCGAAATAATAAAAAAATTATTTTTATTCAATAAAAACAGTGACTTAATTGGAAAAAAATATGTATAGAGGGGTATTATTGTAATTATTCCTAAATATATATAAGGCAAAATTATATATTTTTTGGGTGACCCGACCCGAATATCACACTTAAAAAAAACTGACCCGACCCGACCAAAATAAAGTTTCACCCTACCCGACCCGAATATATGAATTAGAAACCCGACCTGACCCGAAATAATAAAAAAATATTTTTATTCAATAAAAACAATGACTTAATTGAAAAAATTATATATGGAGGGGTATTATTGTAATTATTTCTAAATATATAAGGTAAAATTATATATATATTCAGGTCGGATATTTTTCACTCTAAACCCGAACTCGACCCGACCCGAATATCCCACTTAAAAAACTTACCCGACCTGACCAAATAAAGTTTCACCCGACCCGATCCGAAATAATAAAAAATATTTTTATTCAATATATAAATAAGTTACCAAAAGATTGATGACGGTAGTATGGTCAAATTTTAATTCCCTCTAACAAGGGAATTGAATTCTATCATCGAATGGATGGAATTCACTTTCCCTCATTGGATAGAAAGTTAAAGTCATAAGGGATTCTAATTTCCTTTAAAAACTTGAATCAAACATAAGAAAGTTGTGGAATTGAATTCTAATTTCCCCTAATTTCAAGGAATTCATGCGAACCAAACGTCACCTTAAATTCTCCACCAACAAAAGAAAAATAAAACTAAAATTCCTGGCATGGTTACGACTTACGATTGAGGAGATGAATACGCTGTATTTTGTATTTAAGAAAAACGCCCTTGCTTTCGTTTGGCTTCTTCCGGAGATTTAGTATAAATTACGTATTTAATATTTAAATTATTAATTTTAATCTATTTTAATATTTAAATTTTTAATTTTTTTAAATTATATCTGACGTTTAATTTTCATTTCATTTTAGTAAATTTTTCATTAAAAACTTAAATTAACACATTTAATACCTAAATTATCTGTTTTGGTCTATTTTAATGCATAAACTTTCAACCGTTCAAAATTTAACGTTAAATTTTGAACATTGTGCTAAAATAAAACAAAATTAAAGTTCTTAACGGCAAGTATTAAAATGAAACAAAATCTAAACTTTAGGTATAATTTTAAAAGAAAAAAAGTTTAAATATTAAAATAGATCAAAATTAATAATTTAAATACTAAACACGTAATGTATTCAATAATTTATCGTGTTTATCTAGCTATGGTAATGTACAAGATTAGATCCGATTTTCAGTCAACTCAAGAAGTATATCTTCTTTATTTGAAATTTGAATTTTTGATTAAAGTTTTGGAGTCTCACGTTATATGAAATTAAAAATTGATACAAATATAAAGAGAAATTTTATTTTTATTTAATAAAATATAGAACTAATCTAAAAAATATAGAAGTAAATATAACAATTATCTTTAAATATATATGAGAGTTGAAAAGATTTTATTTTATTATCCCGAGTCAAATTAAGTTAGAGATTTTTCCCCTAAATACAAACTGATCTCACTATTTATAACATCCTACTTCACTCAATAAGATCATATTAGAAGTCGTCAAATTCGAATTAAATTTACCTCTCTAAATTTAAATTTATTCTTACTTTGTCTATTAATTAAAACCTTAAATTATTAATATTGCTTGAATCAAAAAATTTATAATAATATTTAATGATAAAATAATTTATATAATAATAATATTTAATAGAAATGAATTGGATGCTTTGGCTTTAGTGCATGAGGTTGTTGTGTCAAGACGACCCAACTTTTAATGCATCACTTCACATTTATACAGTGTAATATTTTAATAAAATATATTATTTATATCGCAATTTTATAACTATGTTTTATAATAATTTTATTATCGAAAACGAACACTATTGTTTCTTGATAATACATTAATGTATCTTAGTTCTTCAGTTGATAAAAAAGTTTGTTAGTTCGACTTTGTTCGATCTACTTCCTAGGCGTGAGAATATGGGGCAGCAATTAAATGTAGGTGGGGAACCTGAAGATGAACAAAAATCAACGTGTTGATCCCATTATAAGGTGCAACGAATGATTTAAGTGATTGGTGTACAAATTTATTATGATTAAATTTTAATGTCGAAAGTTTATCTAAATTTATTTTGATTTAAACCTATTTTGCTTCAGTTTAATAATATATTATAATAAATTTTTTACATAATTTTTAAATTAAATTATGAATTATTATTTGATACATTTCATAATTTATTTTAAAATGATCACAAGTATCACAAATATTTACTTTTATTTTTTTAAAATAACTTTTATCATTTTATTATCGTTCGTGAAATTATATTTTATTAACTGCTTACAAAATAATGATTAATGTATAATTTTTTTAAAAGATCAAGATGTCTTAATTCACATTTAACCAATATTTTTTTAAAAAGAATAATACAAAAATCAAATCTAATATGAAATATATTTATGCTAAAAGTCTAGTTTTTTCTCATTTTGTGATGCTCAATCTCTTTTTTTCATCTTTATTGATCTATGTCAGCGTCAATTTTAATGTTGATTATCGATCGTTGATATTATTTATTTATTTTATATTATATATTTATTTTATTTTTAATAAGTCTGTCTATATTTCACGTTTTCATCTGTCTTTATGGAACGTTTTCATATGTTTTTTTTGATATTTTTTCGGTTATTTGGCCGTTTTTATTTATCTTTTTTCTAAGGGTTGATTTGTTATCGTCACGACAGATCAATATGACGTTTATATGATATCTTGTGATATTCCCTGCTTTAGACCCTCGAATTGGATTTGGATAACCGATTTGCGTTCGTGAATAGCTTTTCACGTTGCTCGAGTATGATTTGTGGTTTGTCGGTGTTCTTTCAATAGTTTGATCTCCTTTTGTAGTTCATTTGTCGATGCTATCAGATCTGTTTGTATCTATCTTTGTTCGAGTTTTTTTGTTAGATTTAATCTTTATTCGTATGGTCTTTATGTAATCTTAAATTACTAGTTTTGTTTTAATGATTATAGAAAATTTTTCTGATTATGTGCTTAATT